ACTGCTCAAAAATAAAAATAGAGTAATATTGTTATATATTATTACCATTTAAAAGAATTGTCTTTTATTTTAATATATTTTAAAATGTGATTTATTCCTGCGATGGTAAAGCTGAATTATATATATTTATTTATTTTTTAAATAATGTAAGTCTAGTATGCACCCTTACTGAATAAAAGGATTATTTTCCTAAAAAATGTTCTATTTAATTATATTACTATTAATATAAATGAAACAATAAATTCAGAATAATTCATATATAATTGTACCGACACATCCCTATAATTTATCCTTGCAATAAATTATATTAAAGCAGTAAAAATGCTTTAAGCTTATTTTGGTGAGTCAAGTTGCTTATTTTTTGGATTAGATTTTGCAACACTAGTGACATGCTAATTTATCAAAGGTCATAGACCTAGTTAAACATTAAACATTCTCAAATCTCAACATACAGTGTAACAACGCTGCTTTATAAACTACAGCATGAATTGCAGAAGAATCGTTTAACAACTGTTGTGACTGATTTAGTGATTACAGGCCAGTGCATACACATTGTTAAAGGCTTATTTGTGTGTTTTCAGTTGCAGACAGACATCCATGTTGACACAAAGCAGCAGACTCTTCAGGGAGTGGCGTTCCCTATGCAGAGAGAAGCTATTCAGGCTCTGGAGCAGTTCAGGGAGAAAAGGATTAACTACGTTCAATTGGTACTTCAGGCCTTTTTCCCCTCCACCACTCCCAGCAGCTCTGTACAATAGCATCTTATGCCTCCTTTTCATCATTATCATCCTGTATATTGCATTCAAAGAAAACAGCTGAAATGCATAATGGTACTGTATGTTTACTGTTAGAAGGCAGACTGGTTGGGTTGACCCCTACCCACAAAACCACCAATATGTGACGGGAATACATGTTGTAGAACTGAGTAATTATTCAAATACACCAATTATGTCCATCCTATTAACAGGAAATAGATTTTCCTAAAGAATCCATCAAGTTGTCCAGCACGGCTCCCACGGAGCTGAAAGATTTGCCTAAAAGGATCCCAAATGATGCAGCTAGGTATCACTTTTTCCTCTACAAACACTCGCATGAAGGAGACTACCTTGAGTCCACAGGTAAGAGTGACATATCTTCTGTTCATTTAATTTATATATACGTTATGAATACAGAATAATGTGTGTGTATATGTATAATGTAATAATTAAATTTAATACATTAGTAATTATTAAAATAAAAATAGGGCTTTTGAACTGTTTGTTGTATTTTTTTTATTCATTACCTTTGTTTGTTATATATGTTTGCTTTTTTGGATAATGTCTGTTAATAGTTATTGATTATACAAGGTGGTCTGTTAGAACAAATTTATCTGATTTATGTTCCAGCTTATTCCTAAAAATATAAGAACAAAAAAATGTTTTTGAAAATTAGGACTATTGAACTGTTCACGAAAAAATAATTATTTTAAAATTTATAAAAGTATATTTTCAAAATTACTTCAACATTTTTTTTTTATTCATTACCTTTGTTTGTTATATATGTTTGCTTTTTTGGATAATGTCTGTTAATAGTTATTAATTATACAAGGTGGTCTGTTAGAACAAATTTATCTGATTTATGTTCCAGCTTATTCCTAAAAATATAAGAACAAAAAAATGTTTTTGAAAATTAGGACTATTGAACTGTTCACGAAAAAATAATTATTTTAAAATTTATAAAAGTATATTTTCAAAATTACTTCAACATTTTTTTTTTCTTACATTTAAAGGTGTATTAAATAAAATGATGAATTCTGTATTGAGGACATCTAGTTATCATCTGATTACTTTTAAGGTGGAAATGTTCAAATTTTAAAATCTAATGGCAGGTAATATTGTTGGGCATGTTTTGTCCTGTATGACAATAGTTTCAAAAGTGCTTAATGCATTTTCAAACTGTTTTATTGCTTTTTTGTGTGTGTGTTCGTGTTTTCAGTGTTCTTCTACTCTATGCCTGGTTATAAATGCAGCATCAAAGAGCGAATGCTGTATTCAAGCTGCAAGAACCCTCTCATAGACACAGTGGAAAAAAACTTGGGCATTGAAATTGCAAAAAAGGTAATGCATGTTATATATGCTTGCCTATATAACCCTTTTCACTGTGGTATTAAATACAACATACAACATTCTGTTAAATTCTTGGAAGCAAGTGCCGTTTTAAGGTTATCAGACCATTTACAATAATGTTAATGTTAAGAGTTTTCACCTTGGATTCTTCCTTTCAGCTGGAAATTGACAATGGTGATGAACTAACCAGTGACTTCCTGTACGAAGAGGTTCATCCCAAGCAGCATGCGCACAAGCAAGCTTTTGCCAAACCCAAGGGGCCAACCGGGAAGAGGGGGGGCTGTAGAATTACACGGGCGCCAGGGGACGGCGGCGATGATGATTAAACCTCTTCCTGTTCTGAATCTGACAGTGGTACATTCCACTTAGTCTAATGAATCCCGTCCTCAACGCGAATTCCCATTTTTACCTTGACTCATGTAGACCACAGCCCTATAGACTGATCTATGCACAAAGTAAAACACTAAGCCTCTGAAATTACATTTTGTAGCTTGCAATATGATACGCTATGTCGAAGAATACAGATTGAGGTAGACGAGAATGTGTTTTACTAAGCTTCACTTGCATTCAAGGATGCCGTCTGTGATGTTCCTGGTAATAGTTTTAACACTATTACGCTGTTTACTTGCATATTAGCCAAGATTATGATATAGAGTGCAATACTGTTGAAATAGACACTCCATTTAGTGCTCGTTGTCCAGAATGAAGATATTGATTTGAAGATAATTTTTGAGAAAAAGAGATGGTTTCCCATAAACCGATATCTAGTCAAGGTATAAATTGCACTTTCAGTGATAGCTTTCCAGCTTTCCATTTTAGCTTAGGAGTAACTTGAATATTTGTCCAGGAAAATGGCTGTGGAGATTAGGCATGATTTATGTTTGGAAAACAAGCCCGGAAAGTTAAACAGTCCACAGGAAGGTCAGAAGTTCAGATCTGTTTTATGAGGCCATACGCATTATTAATTAACTTTCTGATTGATTAGGTTGAACATTTTCTTAAAGAGTGACTACATAAATTATCAGTATTCTGACAGCCACTGAAGCTTGTAGGGATGATTTCAATGAAGGATTTGCCAAGAATATTGTGCTGAAAATGTTCCAATACCTTTTTTTAATGTTTTAATTCTTAAAAATTGGTCTTGTCATTTTTTTTAAATGTAGGATTGTTTAATTATAGGGATATTATAATAGATAATAGAATCCGTCATAACACAAATCTGAAAAAGTGATGCCTCTCTGCATCTTAGATATTTTTCACGTTATTCTAGTGAAGACTAAACCCGCAGAGATACTATTTTTCTAAGCCTGTACAGCTGTTTGTCCAGATGATGTTGTTGTCTAACATCTAGAAGTGAGTGTCCATGGTTTCAGGGGTTTAGGGCCATCCTGTCTGCCTGAACGAATGTTTTACATGTCATCTAATGACCAGCCTCCATTTCATGCCATTTGCAACCACACTAATGTATAAGTGCTTGGAGTTAAGTTCACTCAGCATCTCGCTTGGGATGCTTTTGAAAGCACTCATAAGGGAAGGGACTGTTAAGTTCCAGAACCTCTGGTACGATCCATCTACTGATTCACAACAGGCGAACCACTATTAACATGTCTCCTATGTAAGGGTATTATGAAGTCTGGAAAGGAATCATTGAGTCTTAAATGTCTTTTTCTATGCATTGTATAAGATAGAGGAATAGAGGAGAAAGAAAAATAAAAAGATTTGAAAATTCTTTCTACAGGTTCTGTATTTCTCACAATTAAAAACTTTTTTTTTAACAAGAAAAAAAATCTATATATACACGTGTGTCAAACACACAGATCTGGGTAGATTTTCAAATTGTAGTCCATTACCTGACAAATTACATGACAAAACATGTTGTTAGTAACGTCATCCATTACATTACACATTTAAGGTAATATAATCAGACAATTTTTTATTACTTATAGATTATTTCTGACCTAACTTGTTTATAACTTTTATTTAAATAGGATAATCTTCTACTATATTGATATAAAAATACAAAGAGTGCATTCCGTTCGTTGTAATTAACAACATGAAGTGCATGAAACATTACATCAAATAAGAAATAATGTGAATTTGTGCATTTTAATGTGTTCGAAAGACAAAAGCATTCCAAAGACATGGTAATAAATCGTTAAACCTACGGAGTGATAATTTGAATAAAAATGAATGTGTTCATCAGTGGTTGATGCAATGTTGAAAACACTTGAAATTATTTGTTGTAAATCCAGTGGTCAAATGCTGTGTAGCCACCTGACTAATGATGACTGATCTCTGTGTGAATGTCCACAAAATTGGAAGACTTTCTGTGTGTATATAAGTGGTAGACTATTTTAGAAAGTAAAAGGTAAAACAAAGGAATTAGGGAGAATCAATAAATTATGAATAATGCATTGCTATTGTGTGAATAATAATCAATAAAATATGTACACACACACAGAGACCCCTTACCATTTAATGTTTTGTTCTCATTACGACATAATATGACAACATGCCTTTACACATTTTGTACAAAAATGTGTACAAAAGTACTGAATCTATTTTTGAATCCTCGCAAAACAAGAATACGCTATTGCACGGTCTTTGCGCTTCTGTGCCTTTAAGAGCGGAACCACGTGCTGCGGAAGAAGTGAATTGACAACAATAACACGCGGGTGAGTGTAAGCACTATTTTCGAATATTTATATTTTGCTTGCTTTGTATTTTGACGCAACAGTGTTAAACGAACCAGCTTTGTAATGGTGATTCAGTTCTTATGTAATAATTTTAATGTTAACACGATAAATTCTTTACATTTCATTATAATTTTACATTACATTCCTATACAAGTTAATAAATCACTTAAAATAATAATGAAATGATTGAGTGACTTAATCGCTAAGTGTATTTTCGTTTAGGGCTTCAGAATGGAGAGGGACTCTCTCCTGCTTCATATCAGACCATGAAGGTTTCCATGGGACCATAAAAAACTCACCCCAAGACTTTGTGGTTATTGAGATAGACATCAATGGACAACTTGTTAACAGTCCTAATGTTCAAGAAGAACTTACAAAAAGACCTCCTCAACCAAGGCAAGCTATTGAAAGGGTTGATAAATTAAAACAATCTAAACCAGATGACACTGACATTTTAAATCAGGATTGCTTTGATCTGAATGTAATCCTGGGTCCACCGTGAACAAAGTTGGAGCATTTCACTAACAAAATAAGAATAAGAGCCGGTGAGCAAGAAAAGGTGGAACTGTCACTGGGTACTTATCCTGATAAACACCAGAGAGCAGTTGTCCACAGAGCAGTAAGATACAACTTCCCCTTTCTCCAGACTGTGACCAACCAATCAGAGATTCGGGTCAGAGAGGACCTAGACTTCAAGAATCTTGCTAGTTTAGCCTCTGAAGGAGAAGCTGAGGAGTTCTTCCGGGTCATTGATGCAAAAGTACCTGGTTCTGCGTTCACCTTCCTGGCCGATGATAGCAAGGAGCACCGAACTTCAGTTCACCATTTTGTTAGCAGGCGGTTTGGGAAGCTTGTGGAAACCAAGAGCTTCACCGACCAGAAGACGACTTTTATTACAGTGAGACTAAGAGAGAGAAGCAAACAACCCAAGAAGAGAACAATAGCAGAATGTCAAGAGGAGGAAGTGGAGGTGACACTATACACAGGTGAGCAGAGAAGACCTTTCATGTCATCATGTAAAGCTGAGAATCTATGGAAACCTGCCTAAAATGCAAGTCTTTTTTCCCTCTCAGCTTTCACACTGATGAAAGAGAACTTGGAGACTTTGGAGGCCATCAGCTATATGGCTGCAGTACTTGGAGTGCTTCTGTCTGATTTTACCTATGCAGGAATTAAAGACAAGCGAGCTATCACCTACCAGGCCATGGTGATGAAAAAAATCTCCCCAGAGCGGTAAACAGACCATTAATCAATTAGTCCAATATCTGATGTTCTGTCTTTTCCCAATGGTTATTTTTTTTCTCCTTTCTCAATTAAATTAGTTGTAAGTGGAAATGTAATTTTTTGTTGGCAATGTTCTACTCTACAGGGCTTTGAATCTGGGGTATGGGGATACCCAGGGGGGGCACAAGGGGGTGCTAGGGTTTCTGCGAAAAATCTGAATGAAAAAAGCAAACTTTTAGGGCTGTCAAAGTTCATGTGTTAACTTCAGGTAATGAAACATGTGAAACATTGTGATTTTAATATTCACATTCAGCAAATTTGATAACATTAACCATTTCATTCAGATTTTTTAGAACTGACCATAAATCAGGAAATTAATCTGACATTTTAAATCAAGATTGCTTTGATCTGAATGTAATCCTGGGTCCACCGTGAACAAAGAGTTGGAGCATTTCACTAACAAAATAAGAATAAGAGCCGGTGAGCAAGAAAAGGTGGAACTGTCACTGGGTACTTATCCTGATAAACACCAGAGAGCAGTTGTCCACAGAGCAGTAAGATACAACTTCCCCTTTCTCCAGACTGTGACCAACCAATCAGAGATTCGGGTCAGAGAGGACCTAGACTTCAAGAATCTTGCTAGTTTAGCCTCTGAAGGAGAAGCTGAGGAGTTCTTCCGGGTCATTGATGCAAAAGTACCTGGTTCTGCGTTCACCTTCCTGGCCGATGATAGCAAGGAGCACCGAACTTCAGTTCACCATTTTGTTAGCAGGCGGTTTGGGAAGCTTGTGGAAACCAAGAGCTTCACCGACCAGAAGACGACTTTTATTACAGTGAGACTAAGAGAGAGAAGCAAACAACCCAAGAAGAGAACAATAGCAGAATGTCAAGAGGAGGAAGTGGAGGTGACACTATACACAGGTGAGCAGAGAAGACCTTTCATGTCATCATGTAAAGCTGAGAATCTATGGAAACCTGCCTAAAATGCAAGTCTTTTTTCCCTCTCAGCTTTCACACTGATGAAAGAGAACTTGGAGACTTTGGAGGCCATCAGCTATATGGCTGCAGTACTTGGAGTGCTTCTGTCTGATTTTACCTATGCAGGAATTAAAGACAAGCGAGCTATCACCTACCAGGCCATGGTGATGAAAAAAATCTCCCCAGAGCGGTAAACAGACCATTAATCAATTAGTCCAATATCTGATGTTCTGTCTTTTCCCAATGGTTATTTTTTTTCTCCTTTCTCAATTAAATTAGTTGTAAGTGGAAATGTAATTTTTTGTTGGCAATGTTCTACTCTACAGGGCTTTGAATCTGGGGTATGGGGATACCCAGGGGGGGCACAAGGGGGTGCTAGGGTTTCTGCGAAAAATCTGAATGAAAAAAGCAAACTTTTAGGGCTGTCAAAGTTCATGTGTTAACTTCAGGTAATGAAACATGTGAAACATTGTGATTTTAATATTCACATTCAGCAAATTTGATAACATTAACCATTTCATTCAGATTTTTTAGAACTGACCATAAATCAGGAAATTAATTGCAAATATTTTATTCTCTTTCTTACCCCAAAAGCGCTGTATGTATTTTTTTTGACGGCACTGAAACATAAAAACACCATAACACATTTGCAAATATTCAGGAAACGTGCTAAGTTCACATACTTGTTTCTTCAAAAAACAATGCTACAGCCAGTTATCATACTTTGAAAATGTGCATTCCATGTCGGAATATCTGTTTTTGTTTTGGTCTGTGTGATTCCGCCCACTTATGATTCCCCCAATTTATATTTCAGTAGCCTGGGTTGCCAGTTTGCAGAAAACACAGGGTACTGCAGCCATTGAAGAGCAAAAGAACTGCATACTGCACCTTTAATTACAAGAAAAAAAATTAGCAAAAAAGTAAAAAAAAAGTATCTATTTTAAAATTAAATGCACTGACTGTATATGAAAGTGGAGAGCGAAAAATAAAAATAATCAATGCTAGCTTTAACTTTGGAGTCATCCATTATCTTTCGCATTAAGGAATTTGGCTCCTGTAATTAGTACAATTAATGAACTGATTTTTTAAATTGCAATGCTTACCTTATCTACTAACTAAATAAATAAATATTTTTAACATTAATATTAAATATTATTAATAAAAGTAATATATTTTTCATTTTCTATTTTAGTACACCTACAGTATAAATGCTGTTTAGTACATACAAAATTATGTAAACATTTTTTGTCTTTATAATATGGAATGGGGTTCTTGTCATTTAAAGGTTTCAAAATCCCTGGTTTACTTGACTCAATTTGTAGATACATATAACAATTCTATTGGCAGGTTGCTGGACAAAGTCTCAGAGTTTGAGAGGAGGAGAATGCAGATCTCTCATGTCCGTCCTGTTTCTGAGCCCCTTAAGCTCGGCAGACTCCAGGGAAATCACTAGGATCTTGTCATCAGAGACCTGAAGCCTCATGGGAAAAGTCAACTTACAGAGCTGCAACATCTTGTAAAAGAGGCAGTGGAAAATGTGAAGGTAAATATATGTTCATCAGTATTTAATTAATAAATGGCATAGACACACGCTGCAACAAAAATAGATATATGTTTTTGTTTTTATAGAACAAAGGCTTTGTAAATTATTATGGTCCCCAACGGTTTGGAAGTGGATCATGTGTCCAAGCAGACCAAGTAGGGCTTGCGCTCTTAAAGGAGAAAATGGTACCAGTTTAAGTCATTAATTTCCATTGAATGCCTATATGTGGTGCACCGGCTTAAAACACTGTATTTTGAGCAGGAGGCTTCTGTTAAGCTGTTCTTCACTCCAGGGGATGGTGATGATCTCCAGAACAAGGCAAAACGTCATTTTCTTCTCACTGGTGTGTGCTGGGATTTCTGATAGTGAAGTTTCATCGTTTGCTGATCCTTCATGCCATTCCAAACCCATTTGACTTTCTTTCTTTGCATACAGGGAATGCCAAGGAGAGCTTGGCCGTCATGCCAGCTTACAAAGCCAGAGAGTGTCTTATGCTCCATGCACTTCACCGATACGGCAGTGGACAGGAGGGTTGCATACGTGGCTGGCTCGGTTTACCCCACAGTATGAGGGTCTTCTACCTCCACTCTTACTGTAGCAGAGTGTGGAACGAAGCGGCCAAATACCGGCTCCAGACACTGGGCTTTAAGCCTGTCCAGGGAGATTTGGTTTGGTCTCGATCTGAAGAGAGACTTAAAGACACCACAGTGGAACTGAACACTCCACAGGTTAGGAAATTGGTTTAGTTAAAGCTGTGGAGAAAGAAAAAAAAAGTGATGGACTGTATGTAGGTAACTATATATATATATACAGTGGGTACGGAAAGTATTCAGACCCCCTTAAATTTTTCACTCTTTGTTATATTGCAGCCATATGATGCTGAAAATTCAGCTTTGCATCACAGGAATAAATAATATTTTAAAGTATATTAAAATAGAAACTGTTATTTTAAATTGCAATAATATTTCACAAAATAACGTTTTTTTTCTGTATTTTTGATCAAATAAATACAGCCTTGATGAGCACAAGAAAAATCTTACTGATCCCAAACTTTTGGGATTTTATATATATAATTTATAGACATTTGTAGTAATTGCTTTATTTCTGTGTTGTAGGTCCATGTACAGCCTGCAGACCTCAGAGAAGCCACGGGGTCAGTCAGACCAGACTTGTGTGCCCAGTCTATCAGTAACCTTTGACCTGGATGCATCCTGCTATGCTACTGTGTGTCTCGGCGAGATTATGAAGTGTAATCTCTCATAGTTTATTTAATGACAGTGATTAAAAATGCTTACAGACTAAATAATATTGATCTTTCGTAACGTCAAATATGAGGGGCTGTTTTGTGCCTAGTTATGTAAGTGATTACCAGGAGTTCCTGTCATAAAGCATCTGTGCCTTCACTTATGGGAAAAGAAGAGGATCTTCTGTGCCAGTGTCATTGATGAGGAACTCTGGATGAGTCTTGAAGTTGTACATGCAAAGATTTAATAAAAAATCTTCCTGACAAGTCTGATTGTTTGGTTGCGTGTTTCAGTATGTGAATATTTCAGCTTAATGCATTTAAACATGATTTCAGTATCTCACCTGTAAAATCTCATGACAAACACAAAGTTCTGGGTGTCTGTCTGTGGTCCTGATGTGAGTCTATAGCTCAGAATGAGTTCATCAAGCTGAGATGAGTATTGATGAAGCCTGTGGATAATGACTGACATGCTCTTCTAGAAGTGATACTGTAGATCTCTGCACTAGTTTTCTGTACATGAAAAAAGAGGCTGTGAATTCTTTCTAACATTATTAGGCCATTAATGTTACCACAAATGAGCTCCCCATTATCTGTGGCTCAGGATATTAAGCACTGCATTTTTATCAGAGTTGTGAGATTAAATCCCACTATCACTTCATTTGAATTTTTGTCACCATATCTAGCAAAACACCATGAAACAACAACAAAAACCCCAAAAGCAAGCCTGTGGATAATGACTGACATGCTCATCTAGAAGTGATACTGTAGATCTCTGCACTAGTTTTCTGTACATGAAAAAAGAGGCTGTGAATTATTTCTAACATTATTAGGCCATTAATGTTACCACAAATGAGCTCCCCATTATCTGTGGCTCAGGATATTAAGCACTGCATTTTTATCAGAGTTGTGAGATTAAATCCCACTATCACTTCATTTGAATTTTTGTCACCATATCTAGCAAAACACCATGAAACAACAACAAAAACCCCAAAAGCAAGTAACTGCAACTCAGAGGATAACTGTTTGACTTTCATTCGTGAAAGTCCTTGTTCAAATCCAATAAAATGTATTTTATTTTATTTTCATCTCTAACACTTCAATAACTGTCCAGGCTCAGGAGATAAAGTGATGTGTTAGGATTGTGACGACCGAGTTCAAAACCTGCTTTTGCTTATATGTTAAAGCTCATTTATTACATTATATTATACATAACAAATTGAAACCCTGTTAATTTGTCAGACTTAGTAGTTTTGACTTTCATTCGTGAAAGTCCTTGTTCAAATCCAATAAAATGTATTTTATTTTATTTTCATCTCTAACACTACAATAACTGTCCAGGCTCAGGAGATAAAGTGATGTGTTAGGATTGTGACGACCGAGTTCAAAACCTGCTTTTGCTTATATGTTAAAGCTCATTTATTACATTATATTATACATAACAAATTGAAACCCTGTTAATTTGTCAGACTTAGTAGTTCAGATAATAGAACGTTGAGTTTTAATCTTGGAGTCCTGAGTTCAAAGCCCAATCTCACTTTTGTAATTAATTTAATGCTTTAACTAAGCTAAAATAAGCTAAGCTTAAAAACTAAAGCTTACATCACAAATTGGCTGATTGCTTACCTATTGTATGTAAAATATTGGTGCAAACCTGACAATTGCTTGTTTGTAATCATATAAAACGGCATTCTTAACAAAACCTGTCCAAAACACTCAAACAATTAGTTAGATTCTGTAGCTCAGGTGATAGAGCATTGAGTTTTAATCTTGGAGTCCCGAGTTCAAATCTCACTCTCACTTTTGTAATTAAGCGCTTTAACTCAGGTAAAACAGTAAATAACCCTTAAAAACTAAAGCCAACATCACAAATTGGCTGATTGCTTACCTATTGTATGTAAAATCTTGGTTAATACCTGACAATTGTTAATGTTTGTCGTCATATAAAACAGCTCTCTTAACAAAACCTGTCCAAAACACCCAAACAATTTATCAGACTCTATGGCTCAGTTGATATTTTAATCTTGGAGTCCCGAGTTCAAATTCCACTCTCACTTTTGTAATTAAGCGCTTTAACTAAAATAAAATTAGCTAATCTTAAAAACTAAAGCTTACATCACAAATTGGCTGATTGCTTACCTATTGTATGTCAAATATTGGTTCAAATCCTATAATTGCTAATGATTCTTATCACATAAAACAGCTTTCTTAACAAAACCTGTCCAAAACACCCAAGCAATTTATAAAAATAATTGCTTTCCTGTTGTATGTAAAATCTTGTTTCAAATCCTATAATTGCTAATGATTATCATCATATGAAACAGCTTTCTTAACAAAACCTGTCCAAGACACCCAAGCAGTTTGTCAGACTCAGTGGCTCAGGCGATCACACATTGGGTTTTAATCTTGAAATCCTGAGTTATAATCCAGCTTTCGCAATTAATTCAATGCTTTAACTCAGGTAAAACAGTAAATAACCCTTAAAAACTAAAGCCAACATCACAAATTGGCTAATTGTTTGCCTATGTAAAATACTGTTTCAAATCCTATAATTGCTCATCTTTAGCATCACATAAAACAGCTCTCTTAACAAAACCTGTCCAAAACACTTAAGCAAACTGTCAGACTCAGTGGCTCAGTTGATAGAACTTTGCGTTTTAATCATGGAGCCCTGAGTTCAAATCCCACTCTATTTTTTTTTTTATTGGTAATTGGGCTGAAACTGTAAACAATCCTTAAATAAAACTAAAGCCAACATCACAAATTGGCTCATTGCTTCCCTGTTGTATATAAAATCTTGGTTTAAATCCCATAATTCCTAATAATTTCCTCATAAAAAACAGAGCTCTTAACAAAACCCATCCGAACACCAAACAAAACAGTCAGACTCAGTGGCTCAAGTGGTAGAGTATTGTGTTTTTATGTAAGAGTCCTGAGTTCAAATCTCACAATTGCATGTTAAATTTTAGTCATTAAATTGAACAAAGGTTTCTAAATGGCCATGGTTCTTGTGGAGACCACAATGGTGTAGTGGTTAAACGCTTGTAATTTGAGATATAATTATTAGGTTTATTATTAATTATTAATTTATTAGGCTTTTCATTCTTTTAAGCAAAGCTCTCAATAAAACCTTGTCTGAAACACTCCATGGACTCAATGGCTCAGGTGAAAAAAGTGTTGCATTTTCATTTGGGAGATCTGAGTTCAATTCCCACAGTTGCTTACTTTAAATTGCTGTCATTAAATTAAATGAAGCTCTCTAAATGGACAAGTACATGGCGAAAGCTGCAGTGGTTAAGCATACATTATTTGAACAAAGACTACGATTGAGATGTGGTTTCAAAACCCACAGCAGCATTGTTTTTCTTCACATAATACAAAGCACTCAATAAAACTCCACCCAGAACATTTTCCAAATCAACCGGCTCAGTTGATAAAACATTGGACTTTAATCTTAGAGAGCTGAGTTCAAATCCCACTATTGCTTATGTTAAATTACTGTCATTAAATCCTACAATGTGCCTCAAACGACAACTCTCAGTGTGAAAGCCATGATGGCACTAGTGGCTGAACACACGTTGGTTGCAGACAAGATTACGGTAGAGGCTTGGGTTCAAATCCCACTGTTCAATGTGCGGGGAACACACCAAAGCAATAAAGCTGTGGCGACAGCAAAGTACCTGGGGCAGTACACCAAGCGAAAGGGTGTGGTGGCAAAGGCGAATACCTGAGGCTCACAGTGAGCACTCAGGGGTGGTGAAACAGACTGGCTACACAGCCATAAGAAACACGGACTAACTGGCTAAGATATCTGGGGTGGAAAAACAGATGAGAAACACAGACTAACTGACATACCTGGGGTGGTAACAGAGATGAGGGGGACTGTGGGGATGGAGGAGAGGTGGACCTATGGGAGGAGGAACAAAGAAAAAAACTAAAATATTATAAAATTAAAAAAAAAACTTTTTTTGGAAAAAATTCCTAACACAAATCAAACCAGCAGCAGAGGAAGGACTTGAACCCTGGTCTCCTATGTCAGGTTCAGCTCCCATGACTTGAACACTGACCACTAGCCCATCAGCACTCACACTAACTAATGTTTTTTGTATTATTTGAGGAAAAAGCAAATGCACACATTTTGAAAAAAAATAAATAAATAAAAATAATAAATAAAAATAATGAAAAAATAAAATAAACATTGAAGAAAGAATCAGAATCTAAAATTGTACAATTTAAAAATTCATTAATGTCAATTTAGGGAAAGGAAAATGCATGCATTTTGGGAAAATCTATTTTAAAAAACATAAAATTAGAATCTAAAATCATCATAAAATTAATAAATGTCAATTTAAGGAAAACACAAATGCACAAATGAATGAATTAATGAATGAATACCAGAATTTAAAAGTATCTAAAAAACTGTCTCTTAAGTATTTACTACTCTCTAACACACATTCATCTGTTCCTTAAGCTTTATTTTCCCTCACTAACAAAGGGAATATAACAGTGGCAAGCAGTAACTTCTTTAACTGGATTCTAAATTATCAGCAAAAACAAATAAGAACCATGGCATGTGTCAATTTTACACACACATATATGTTTTGCATCAAATAAACAGATTTTTCAATAATCGAGATCTGACAGCAATACATAAACCTTATGTTTTACCTTAAAACAAAAATTGTAATATTTAGCCAGACCCTGAACTCATTCTCTCAAATTCAGTTTATAGACTGCATGAAACTGGAATATAAACACAGACATAAGCATTACCTGTGCATCAGCAGATGTCCATCATTACAGTCAATGTCTGTCCACATGCTTATGTTGTTGTGTAACGGTCCAAACATCCCTTATTCTGTAGAGATTAAACATTACTCCATATTGTGCACAGACTTTCAATTGCACAAAAGAGCTAAAAACCTTCGTTTATACATTTTAAGCACAAAAACACACTTTTTGTGCATTAGGCTACTATATAATTCAAATAACTGATGTAGAACTCAGATGCAGAAAATGAAAGATGAAATCATGGATAATAAAAAAGATTGCATTGACAGTAACATTAAGTGTGCCATAAATCAGAAGGAACATCAGAGCTTCACACAACATCAACTAGTAACAAACATGAATCCTGTAGACTATTACTACGATGATACTATAGCATCAACAGTTACAAGTACTATTCCTTATTATCCTACTTCATACAGTGTATATGAACCACCTCCTTAGATTCACACTCGAAAAGTAAAGCAACAACTTGTTGTTCTTGTAAATGTCTGACAGTTCTGCAGGAGCACAGAATGTAAACAAAGTCAGTGATAAAATCAATAAATCATAATAAATAATAACAGATATGACTGCATTCATACATGTTTGGTATAAAAGAACTATAAAATAACCATAACAATAAATAATACTTTTAGGCTTAGAGTTTTTTTTTTTTTTTTAAGTTTGAAGGTTTTAGAAACTTAAACAGAGATTGCCACTGTCAGCCAAAGAAAGAGCAGCATCACTCAAATTCTCTAGCAAACACATTAAGCACCGCTTTAACATATCAGAATAATACATCAATACAAACTTAATTAATGACTTAAAAACAAACGAGGACTGCAATATAATGCGTGATAGTGAATTTATAAGAGAAACGCACTTTATGCGTAAAGTTACTCACAGGTGAGTCGCGTGACAGTCGATTCCTTCACTTTATCACAGCGTGTGTCGGTTGTTTTTCCTGTTGGGATGAAATATGTGCTGTTAAGTGACATTATGAGTCTGTCATTCAGCTGTCAGCTGCAGAAACTGTACTTTTATAACGGTAAAACGATACAAATGTATTGCGGCGTCATGAGGGTGTCATGTTGTTTACAGAGATGGAAAGGTGTCATTTTGAACGTGAAAGTGAACCTGCCTTCGCCGCCCCAGTGGAGCGGATGGCAAACTGCACAGTTTCTACCAGAACGAGCCGTTCTTATTGTACCACCAGCAGACAGAAAATGACTCAAAGTTGGGTTTCTAATTTTATTAACCTGTAGCTTACTTCAAATATTTCATATTTTAAACAAAAATCCCTATTTGTTACATTAAATGTAAGACGGGCGAATGAAAGGTGATCACCGGCTTCCTCTTGTGGTCAACATCTGTATCACAGCAGGACTGATACTGTTGCGTTCTCAGGAAAGAAGTGCAGGAGATTCCGGAAATTATCCGGAAACTATGGAGCATCAAATGTTTGGAGCGGATAGCGGAGGTATTGGAAATAATGAAAATAGAAGAAAAGTGTGGATTATGTCTTTGAAACTGACTATGAAAAGGGAAATCTTCTGGTAAGAAGGAACATAAGGTAAGTTATTGTTGATGAGTCTATCAGTTAAGCAAATGATAGGAATGATTGAAAGTGTTAATTCTCTAGGAATGGAGATTTTAAGGATAATATGGCAGCAAAAAGACTCTGTAAGTGAAATCGCCTAGCAGGGTTCCTACGCAGAATGTATAGAATTTGATTTCAGTAATTTCCAGGACTGGATATGAAAAAAGAAAACAGAGTTTGAATTTCCAGACTATTGGCCTATTGATTCTACACTATAGACTATTGATTCTGTTGATCAGGAACAATAGATAGATGTATAAAGCACTCTAAAATATATATTGAAATGTTCTATAATGAGTTTCTTTGGTTTTTAATACTAACTTTTGTCTTGACCTTAATAAAGCAATGTTTACTTTATTGAAAAATATTTGAAGGCTACATGCTATTTTAATGTATTAGTTATGTAATTATTAGCATTAATAAGTAACTTATTTAATTGAAGATATATTTATATTTTTCAAGTAATTAAAATATTTTCAGTAGCCTAGTTTTTTTTTGTTTTTTTTTACTATAGTGCAGAGATCTCTGAAATTGACTCCTGAAATTTTGTTACTGTGACAACACTAGTTTGTATTATTGTGAGAGTATCAAACTGTCTCTGAAAAATCTACAGAGAAGTCTGTAAATTTGAGCTTGGAATAAGTGTGGTATTTTGAAATAGAAAATAGGAATCCTGACCTAGAGACTGAGGGAATTATTCTTTTTAAGATAAATGAAAAGATAAAGATACAAATAACAAACACTTACTATGTGGTGGCTCGGTACTGCAACAGAATGCTAGAAATTTCTTCTGTGATTGTAGCTTCGATTGGAACTTTTTTCCCCAAAGCCTTCAGTTGAGCTACATACAAAGAAATAATTAACAAGGAAACAAACAAGCCAGTAGATATAACATACCATGATGCAGATATATAACTCAAGATACCCAAATTCTAGAAGCAAAGCAGCAGCAGTCTTCTCTTTTTAAAGTTAAAATTGCAAAAAGAACAATAGATCATATATTTATTTAATCATTTAGCAGAAGCAATAGAACCCATTAGACCATTCTGTGGCAGCACTTTCAAGCTTATCAACTGGACTATTTTCAGCACATCAATAATGTAAGATTTGTAGAACATCGATAATATAAGACTTCATACAGAGTTAGTTTAGAATAAAGCAATTAGGATCAGTTGTAAAATATCTTTGGATTCTGGCACATGTAGGTGTGAGGAGGTAGACCATCATTGCTAAGCGAACCCTAAAACATCCTGAATTGACAAAGGAATAATATCAATGAATAAAACTGAAGTATAATGGTTAATTGCAACTGAGGTATACGAAAAATCTTATGGTTTAAAAGGTAAACATTTGCATCATATTGAGAAACATGCAGAAATATTTAAAAACAGCTGTAGGAAAATAAATAATCAAAAATGGGAATCAAAAGGATCACACTCCAGATCATTTTAGGTAATGGCCCAAGGCAATTAAGAATATTATATGCTAAGGTATGTAAGTATTTAAAAGTTACAGGGTTAATAAATAGAATTGAGGGTGTTTTAAAAAAAAAAAAAAATACTGTTCACTTAAAATTTTCCAACCTTTTACCTTCCACACTTCAGTACAGTAGGTGGCGGAAATGCACCTTCTGTGTTGGTTTGCCAACCACCAAAAATATCACAAAAAGAATAAGAAGAGAGGATGGCACTGCACACATACAGTGGGGCAAAAAAGTATTTAGTCAGCCACCAATTGTGCAAGTTCTCCCACTTAAAAAGATGAGAGAGGCCTGTAATTTTCATCTTCATCCAAATCTGTGGTTTGTCAGCATCTATACTAGTAGATCAAATTAAAATCTACAGGCAATTGATTCAAATCAGCTCTCAACTGAACTGGGGTAAGCCAAATAAAATGTCAGATGTGTTGATATGAAAGTCACATGGACGACAAACAAACACAACTTGCGGGACAAAAGATCTCCTTTTGGGCTGTTTGTTTATTTTATGGGCAGATATTCTTAAATTATTATTTAAAGTGCTTTTCATCATTTTTGTTCACAGTTAATTATTTTGTGTTGATGTATGTAGTCTAATGATTATAAGTCTGTATCATAATGGCTAATATTATCTCTTCTAGAACATATATAAATTGTTTAAATTGTTTGGTAACATTTTACCAAAGTGCCTTTCACAGGGTTCCCACTCTTTCATGAACACCAGATTCAAGGACTTTCAAGGACTTTTTCAAGCACCATTTATTTTATATCTTTTTCATCCGTAAAAAAAACCCTGCCTTAATAAGGAGGAAATAATTATGCCTTAAGGAAAAAATTAATCACACCTTAATAAGGAGTTTTTCATTTCTAGCCTTCATGGACAATTATATACAGTATCACTTCTAAATGATTAAATACAAAAATAATAGTAGTTATTAAGATTGATGTGGTTTGGAATTGGTAAAATGTGCCGCCATAAACAAAATTTATTTCAAATTTAATTCAAGCACTTTCAAGGACCTATGTTTGTTTTCAAGTACTTTCCAGGCCTTGAATCCATATGTCTGAAATTCAAGTACTTTCAAGTACTTTCAAGAAGCGTGGGAACCCTGCTTTCAAATTTCTACTGTTTTTGGCTTTTCTGATTATTATAACAGACAACTTGCATATTTCGCTGCTGGAAAAAAAAAAACAATATAAACCATCACAGAAATTTGAATGGTTTCCACTACAAACACCATTACAAACATTACAAACCATCAACTTTTAACCATTAAAAAATGGTTTCCTGTAGTGTGTTTATGGACATATTCCATTAGGATTTAGTGGTTTTAACAAGCCACCAATTGAAGGCAACCACTTACCAGTAGAGAGCAACAGGCACCATTACAGTTTGCATTAAAAACAGTACAATTCCCATTATAACCAGTAAAACCATTACAAATTCTATGATGGGTTCTATTGTTTTTTCAGCAGGGTTGGCAGGTCCCCTTTGCGGATATGAGTATATCTGGATGAATATATGACACACCGGCAAAATTTTATAATGTAGGTTCAGTTTAAAAAGGGGGAGTGATAGTTAACTGTTTTTAACTGTCCTAGTTTTAACTGTAGATTGCATTTAATCGATTACACTTTAATGAAAACATGCAGTTGGTTTGTGAAAAGTGCCACATTTTACATTTTTTGGCTGTGTCCTTGTATTTACAGCATCTTGACCAGCAGATGTCACCAGCATTTTGAGCACTTCAAAAATTTGATCAATTTTGCAAAGCAATTGGTTCAAGTAAATCAGAGTTTAGTTTCTCTTAGAAACGAAGCTTCTTATTAAACAGATCACAGTATTTTCTCACATCATCTAATTTTTCACTCATTACTCATTTCTGAATGACCTGTGAAATCTCATGAAAGACACACTGGGTTTCTCTGTGGTCCTGATGTGAGGCTGTAGCTCAAAATGAGTTGATCAAGCTGATCAGGGCAATGTGCTTGTTATATTAATCAGTAAAAAACTGCCCATAGACTAAATCTAAATGGTTAGTAGTTGTATAACTCCATAAATTTAGCTGTTACCTGTCATTTGGTAACACTTTTTAATAATCCAAATAATCAGTCAGGTTTTACTATGTATAAACAGTGATCAATCTCTCACACCAACCCATTTACTTTGGTTTAATTTTAACTAAAAATGTGATGTTTGATTTTGTAGGTGTGAAGAAGCCAGAGTCTCACTCCTTCATCTATAACCTCATGATCATCCAGATCTCCAGACAGAAACTCACATCCTCCTCATCAGTGACACAGAGGAAGATCCAGTCAAGCTTTACTATATAAATGCTGCTTGATTCTGCAAACACAACAACACAAACTCATTGTCTAATTGTGAATGAACATGATAAATAAAGTCAAATAAACATCTACTTCAGCCATATAAAATATAAAAGATATTTTGTCCCGTACTTTTTGTTTATATTTTGAGGTTGCCATTGAGTTCAACAACAAAACATAGCTATTATCTGACTTACCAGAGACCATCGGTTGAGTGTTGATACGGAACATTTAACGATACTACTAGATTCAAGTTATCTATATAGATTTGTTATAAAATATTTTCAATTCAAATCTTTGTCCTCTAACAAAAATGTAAGTGTAGTTTTAAATCCGCTCCACCAGGCGGCGGAATCGGGCTTTAGGTTCAGTTTGACACATTCAGATGCTGCTTGACAACATGACGCTTGATAACAGTCACAACAACAGGTGCAGACTGATTTAAGTATAAATTCTGCAGACGACAGCTCAGTTACAGACTCATAATGTCACGTAACAGCGCACATTTCAGCCCATAAACAAAACAGACAAACGCTGTGATAAAGTGCAGGAGTGGAAGATGTCACGCGACTCACCTGTAAGTCTCCTTCTCTTCCAGTGTATTTCTCTTGTAAAATTACTAGCACACGTCTAGCAGTACTTAATGTATCTAAGTAATTGTTTAAGTGTTTGTTGGTGTGTAATTCAGATACAGAGCTCCTCTGTCAGGTAATTTAGTCTTTGTTTACATGCTGCTCTCTTGCTGAGCTCCCTGTCAGACCTTCAGAAGAACAAATGAATCAGTTTTTGAGTTACATTATAATCTTTGAATGAATGGCCATCTAATAGTCGTATTATAAAGCGCATTACAAGTAACCGTAGTTTTGTCTCTGTTGTTGTAGTCTTGCAGGTAATCTACTGGACTGATGCTAATAGAGTCAGTGTGTGTGTGAAGCGCTGATGTTCTGAGATTGAGGTCTCTACAGAGCAAAAGTGGGCGTTTCTGACTGTGGGTGTTTTAAATTAAATTTGATTATTGTTTTGTGTTTATAATGAGAAACACAAACACATAAAAAAATAATATTTTTACTAATATTTTTACCATTCAAATGTTTGGGGTCATTATGATTTTAAGAAATTAAATACTTTAATTCAGGGATCCATTACATTAATCAAAAAAGACAGTGCCTTAAGTGTTTTTTATAGTTAATTATTTGACAATAAGTGTAATAACATTCATTTGCAGAGTTTTAAAGCATGTTGGTGATTCTCAGTACTTTGGTGATGTTGAGGTTTCTTTCACTCTCTCTATATGACATACCCTAACTTAGGGCTGGGCGATATGGCCAAAAAAATGATCACGATAATTTTTTTTTCATATCAGTCGATATCGATAATTATCACAATAAATGTCAAATCTTTATTTCTTTCAAGTTTAAAGCCAGATTTTTGCTCCAAAGTGAAAGTTGTAGAAACCAGACCATTAATGTTCCTTGACAAAATATAGAAAAATTAATTTCTTTGCATGTCCTAATGCGTGATATTCTTTCAAATCAAGAAACAGGTTTGGGTTGCCTGAAAATATTAATAATAAAAATATCACTTTTTTCTCTCTTAGAAATGCACATTTGATAGTAGCTTGAGTTAGGATGCAGAGGTAAATTTTTGTTCATTATCAAAATCAGTAACATCTTTAAAAATTGTAGCAACCTCAGTTTTATATGGTTAAATTTATTCTGACCAAGTTTTTATTTATTTATTATCATTTTTTACATTAAGCATTAGTCTCCTATAGTAGCATACATTTAAATCATGATAAACACAGTTAAAACCACAAACATAGCACCTCAATACCATGGTAAAAATATAACTATATGGGTTTTAAGTAGCCTATTTGTATGAAAAACAGTAGTCTAACAACATTCAGCATAAATGCACACATGATATAGCTTAATCACAAATACATACTACAATTATATACCTTTACTCCTGTAATAAAATTCAACGTGAATATCCCACATTTCTGCCACAATACCATGCATGGTGCAGTGAGTGTTACCACAGTAAATCCATGGTGAATGATGGCAATGTGAAGATTGAAAAGCCTTCTGACTGTCTCGTT